ACCAACGCTAGCGGCGTCTGTAGTGTCAACGTCGAGCGGCTTCGGCTGACGCTTTCTATCCGCGTTAGTTGGCCTGCCGGAGGAGGGGCCATTGACCTTCTCTTCTCCGTGCTGGTAAATAGCGCCGGAAATGACACCGTCTCGACAGCAGCGGTTTCAGGCTTGGACATTAACACTGTTGCCTATTACGACCGTTGTGGAAAGTATCTGTCCGAGATGAGATGAATCTAAAAGGAAACAATTAAAATTGTTTTACCTGTAAGGACCTGTTCGATCGTCCAGCTACGATATGTAATAGCAACGGTACAATTAGCATGAAACGGCTGGTCGGCCATTGTGAATTGGACTCGAATTGGATCGTAGTTAGATATGTTAATTATAGCGAGCTGAATCGCTAGACTCGTCGTGTAGATATTCATCGTCATAGAGTTCAATGACTCGCCGAGAGCATTGAGAAACAGACTAGCGTTTACCGTATTTAATATACAGAGCATAACAAGTGATTGAAGTTGGATTAGCCCCTGGTAATTATTGATTGTTTCGTTTGAAAACCGTATGTGCCAGTACTGGAAAAGTGCTGACAGCTTACTGTGTCTTTGGCTCAACAGTGGTAAGCTCAGCCCTCATTTCGTTACTGCGGCATGTCACAATCGCAACGAGTAGCGACGAGCACTGCCTTTCGTTATATTACTTTAAGACCGATCTTTCTTTCTTTGCGATCCTAGGCTTAAGCTGATGGAAAAGCAAGTGTTTTATGAGCGAGCCAACTGCAGTCATGTGATAGATACCGCAAGCATATCGCTGGGAAGTGAGCCCTCTTTAGGCATAGGTCGTCAGGATAATTTAGTGGGTATAGCATTTGCGTGCTAATCTTAGGGACATGGCTAGGTTCAAACCCGGCCATAGATACACGGTTCGTTTCATGCTGGCAGAAGCCAAACAGTTGTCTGACGGTATGCCCAGCGCCGACACTCGACGCAAAACTCGAAACACAGAGGCCTATTGCAACTGCGATGATTTGTCCTTCGGTTTTTCCTTAAGCTCATTAGTCTAGAATCACCACAAACATGCGATTATCTATTACGCAGAATATACGATCTATCAAAGAGCCATTTTACCCAATTTTATGTAACTCTAAGAAAAAATCCCACCTAATGCGTTCGTAAATTGTTATTAGTTATTATTGGCCTATTTTGTCCTGATTCAAATTTAAAAAAAAACCAACAGCACTTAGATAATCTGATTGTGCTCTAACAATTCATCTTGTTAAATAATGAAAACTTGTTTTTCGTTTAGTTAGTAGAAAGAAAAGTTTTTAATTACTTCAAATTATACCTCTTGATATTTTCGCCTAAACTTTAGTAGCCGTACTTCGACTCGAACAATCAGAACAATTGAGTTACCCTAATCGCTTGGGCCGACAAAAATTATCATAATTTGTTATATTTTTTTCTAGGAATTATCGTTACGTACAGCCGGCGCCTTATGCATAATCATTGTTGAGTTATAGGGGGACAAGGAAAAGGTGATGGCGTCGGTAAGAGAATTTACATGTTCTTATAATATCGTTTTCTACACAGCGGTGCGTATTGCTCTCAGATACAGCGGGATCGTTATGGACGCCTCCTCTAGCTTTTTCAGAAGACGCCGGTAACTAGTTGAAACCACCGTGCTTGAATTGTAGTTAGACCTCTAGGCTATTTACGGACTATGGCTATGGATGTTATATTTATTATTATTAGTCCATTCTGTTCCTACTTTCCGGACACAGAGTGGGTAAGCGACCCGTACAAAATATACATACATATATATATATATATATTAAAAATCAGGTTCCGCTGCGTTGTTATTTCATGGGAATAAGCAATACTACAATGTTAGACATTGTTTTCATTCAGATTCTAATTGTATCAACGAGTTTTGACGTATACTAATCAGAGCTGGCGAGGATCCGGTTTTGTTTGACGACTAGCTGTTCCATGCGAAAACGGCCTTTTCTAAGGACGTTCTTCAGGTAGCAGTACAGTTATCAATGATGATTTTTCGTGCAGTTAGAGAGACAAGCAAGGGAGATATACGGGTGCGCTGTGCTATCGCCTAGACGAACCACTCCACTATTTGCGTTAATTTTTAGACCTATTAGGAGAAACTCATCAATAGTGATCTAGAAATCAAACTAATCCAAAGAAGGGCTGCGAATCCTCCCCAAACTGGTCTCATTCTGACTATTTTTTTTATCTGTGCAAAAGTAGAAAGAATTCCAGCGAAAGTCATACGTGAAAGCAGTTAGATGACAGGAGTTCTCGTTTCTACCATTTCAACTTCCCTTTAGCAGGCTTAAGTAGGTGAAAGGTGGCGTGCAAGGTTAGAATTTGAGCGAAAGCAAAACCGTCTAAATTTCTGGAGTCTACGTGCCATATTCAAGTACAAAGAGATTTTTCCCATGAGGTACTTATACCGCATCGAAACTAGCGCATTCTATCGCCTGTCCAATACGGCCCTAGTCCTTTGATGCCGGTGATATTCATTTTGCTGAACTTCAAAGTTTGTCCGGCGTTAACGTTGGATACTGTTTAAGTTACAGGCGACTTTACCTATCTGCCAGAGCGGGCGGTGATGGTGTCATAGAAAGACGTAATCGCGTACATAAATGCATGGACAGGCAACGAGAACAGAGAACAATAATGCAACGAATCGAGAGTAACGCTCCTGTTGTTTTAGACCTTATCTTAAGCTTTACACATCAATTCCGATTGTGACGACGACGGCGGCGGCGACGTTGGCAATGGCGGCAGATAGAAAGAGAGAAGTTTCGCTGGTTAGTTTTGTTGGCGGTAGCGTTCATGCGGCTGCGTCGCCACTCGTAGCCGCAACACGAGGCGTTGCCATCCATCGGCAATACCAGTATCATCGTGGTCGTCATCAGCTACTGCTGCAGGTGCTTGAGTGCTAAAAAGAAACAGACAGCCCGCGTCCTAAAAGGGTCAAGTAAGTGGGACATAGCAAAATCGCTCGTCCATTCATGCAATGGCGATCAATCCGGCCAGGCCGATCGAGAGAGCATCAGCAACACAGGCAACAATGGTGATTTGCGCTGACGGCCACCTATCCAGCCAGTCAGCCAGCTAACCGGACATGCGGATGGATAGACAGATAGATACGTTCCACTTCTTTTTCAACCGAAGCGTCTTCTCCACCTTACACACACGCGACGTCCCTTGGCTTGGCGTAACGTAAGCACTGCATCGCGCTGGATCACTAGCCCGTGCCTACCCAGGGCGCGTCGACTGCCGCCTGTTCCCGCAGCCACAGCCGCTCGTGCCGCCGCCATTGTGTGTGCGAACAGTCGAGCGCTGGCGACGGCCATTCCTCACACGCGTTCTGCAAGCAACCGCAATTGCAGCTCTTCCGTCGCCGCTGTTCCAGAATTCACTTTTCATTTGTGCCTGGCTTCAGTAGCGGTAATATCCGTGGCGTCAGCAGAGCAGCTTCAGAAGCAGCGATAGTTTCCATAGCTTCCACTTTCACTAGTGAGTGAGCAGTCGTCGTCAATCCGTGTTACGGTAGCAACGGTGGCTACTGTTATTCCAGCCGATGATCATGTAACCCGCGAATCGGCAGTAGCTTCACGTGCACTAGCACTTGTCACTCCTCTTTAGATCGCCACGGCTGGCGAAGATGCTATTGGAAATCTATGTTTGCAACTGCACTAACAGTTGGTCAGGTATGGCTGCTGGGACGACGGCATGGATTTCCGGTTAGACAAGGAACGGTTCTTGAGAACTGCTCTAGACAATCGTCTGCGAAAGCCGTGCTCGATCTTTTTGTGAAGAGAAACAATAAATAAATAGATAAGGAAATATTCAGAAGTAGAGCAAGAAACGAGGTCAAAGCTGGAAGTAGACTTGAACAGTTTTTAAAAGCCGGGAGAGGAGCAACACTAACGCATGAAGAAAAGGTGTCGAACGAGTCATCCCTTTCTACAATGTTGTTGTTACTTTTACAAGTAGAGGCTGTTATGCTTACGACTAAGGGGTAGGTGCGCCTGCAGGACAAGCGAATCGCACTTTCTGGCCACGAGTATCCGTACAGCCATAGCGCAGCGGATGGATGGGGCGGGCTATTGATTCGATAAATAATGACCAGTCGCTGTGGGTGTTCGCATGGTCGTGACATCTGTGTCCAGGTTTCACTGTAGCTAGCTAGCTAGCTATCTAGACAGCATTGATATTCTAAATCAACATGCAGCCAATATTATTATTAATTCCAGATTTTGGGTAAGTATCTAAGAATTATCACGATCTAATAAAATCCGGCCTTCTACATGGTAAACAAGTTGCCGATTCATCAGGCCTACTAATAGGAAGGCAGCAAGAAGGAACCTGCAAGCCATTATGGAACATATTTATTTGCATAATCATATTTTTTGCAAAGTGTTTGTATATCCGTTGGTTCCGGCAGAACCTTCGCTGTCGATCGTAGAAAAATTTACGGCTGCGTCTTACCTTTCGAGGAACAATCAGCATGGCCTGCTGTTAAAGATAACAGCAGACGATAACTGTAGCAATAAAGACAAAACCATATTATAGAAATCGGCGCCTAATGTAATATTGTCACGACGTTCAATTGAAAATGAATCATTTTTACTAAAGGCGTCTTCTTTGATCCGCTTATAAGACTATCCTTTCATTTATATGCTCGACAATGGCGTTTGCCGCCGCGGCAGCAGATGACTCGACGAAGCATCGCACTGGATCTGACGATAAGATTTTGGCTTTTACAATATAATTTGTCAAAGCAGCATTAAGGCACTCGTTTACATGTGTACTTATCATCGTGCCGCATGCGTCATATGTCAGTATACCTTATATCTCACGTATTTCGAAAACAGACGGGACGCGAGAGTAGTACGTACGCTAACTACACATATTCAGTGATCTATTTAGTCTATTGTATCAGCTTCCGGCAAGCGTAATCTCCCGGCCGCGATGACCAAAGAAAACGAAGGAGAGTGCTGTAACCAGAAGTGCGCGCCACTGTGGGTTTCTGGAACGCGTTGCCGCCGACGTCGCGGCCGCGTTTCACTGCTGCATCCGCATGATCCGACGGTGCGGCTCGCAATCGAGTACATGTTTTACTTGCTCGTGCAATAGACGATCGTCGTGCGGTGCGTGTGTCCGTGCGTACCCCAAATGTTGGTACTGACCTGACGACGCTTTTTCCATGTAGCTACTTTTGGGCCGACGTATGTTTCCATCGTCGTAGCACGAGATGGCGTAGTAGCTTGGCCATCTATATATATAATAGTACATACAACACTTCGTCACGCACCGTACGTACGCCACAAAACAGCGACAACAATCATGGCAACGAAAAAAGGTAACGCGTCCGCCGGCGTCACCACGGTCGTCACAACACCATCTTCCTCCTCTTACGTAGCATGTGGGCTGGTTCCACAGATGGTGGACGTTATGCGTTGGCCGTGATCGCGTCTTTATCTGTTGTCCCTGTTTCCATCCATGGCGGCTGCATCAGGGGCAGCCACCATTGACGACTCACTCGCGGCCAGAGCTAAAGCTCCGTCTGTCTGTCTGATTGTCTGTCTGTCTGTCTGTCCGTCTGTCTGTCTGCCCGCCTGCCTGCCTGCCGAAGCCATTGTTGTCGTTGGAGTCGCACTAGTGGCAGTGATGCCGCTGGCTGCTGTTCGTGGCGACGGTGGCAGCAGAACGCGACTCTGTGCGCATTTCGTGTGTCAGCGCTTTCCCCTTCTGTGGCCGACGGCAGCGGCGGCGGCGACGGCGGCGTCCGAACCGCGGGCCGGGGCGAGCATGCTGCTATCTTGCTGCTGGGTCGCGGCTTCATTTTGCCAGAGGCCGTGGCGACGCGCGCGTGCTGTAAGGATTGCGCTGCGTCGCTACGTCGGCCGGCCAGGTAGCGAATACCGTTATGCGATAGAAATGTGGTCGCAATGCTAGTAGCAACTGTCGTTCATCTAGGCTTGTTACAATTATACGGTGTTTGTTATTGTGCTATCGGATAGGGTAGAGACTGTGTTCAAGTTGGGAGAAAACTCTTTTCTTCGCAAAGGAAAAAGATGCACCTGCAAGCGTAGCTGTGCACGTGTGCAAGCGAGGAATAGATGCTGTGTGTGTTTTTTCCTCATCGACGAAAGGCACAATTGAAGCACAGTTAGAGGAAGTTAACAAAGTTGGTTTTGACATACGTGCATTCGTACCGCCACTTATGCTGTGATAACGAAAAACATCGATAATGGCCTTGTTCCGTCCAAACTGGGTCGAATTATGGCTCGACTGTACCATCAGAGCCCAGTTTTGAATTCTGCGACACCGTAGGTGTCCGCTAATCTCGTTAGTGAGAAACTTCCCAAGTGCTGTCACCCACGTCCTATCATCCTATTTGATTAATGAATTTAAACCTGGCGTCAGTTTACCGCAGTGCCATTTCTGTAAACTGGTAAAAGACCAATAGGCGCAACAATGACGAGAACGATAAGACGCCGTCGTTACCGGACAGTAAAAGTTACTTTGCTATAACTTGTACAGCAATAACATCCAGACTGTGATCAGCAATTGCAGCTATGCTACGTCAATACCTAACGGATGAACTAGAAGTGTGACCACCTTTAGAGTGAGCCTTTTACAATGGATACTATGAACTCTTGCCCCTGTCAACACTTTGTGTATATGTTCATATTGGTAACAGTAACCTCATCATTGCGTTAGGATTAGTAGTGGTGGTGCCGGTATCGGTGGGAGTGGATTACGCCATTTTTGCCACGAGACTGATTTCGACCTGTTATTTCGAGACGACACCTTCGATATTTGTTTACATTGTGCTCTACCGGAACACAGTGGGCGTGGGTGGGTGTGTGCGTGTTTGTGGGCGTGTGTGATTCTAAATAGAATTGCACTTCTTCGCAGTTCCGAAGTTCCAACAAAAAGGTTAGACTTAGTTCCTTATAGGCATCCATAATAGTGTTCGTAGTCTCCAACACACGTCTTTCTGTCGTTACATATACCTGTTGCTGAAATAGGTAAATACTGCGCAACGTTTCTATTTGTCTTTGTAAGAAATGTAGTCGATCGTGCCATTTTCCGTTCTTTCCCTCTGGCTCGTCATATCAGAGTACCTAATGTATATCACAATATAACTTTGCCGTATCGAACTTGAAATTTCTACCAGCGACGACGGTCTTTGTGCTATGGTTACTCGTTTGCTAAGTAGATTTCGACTGAAAATAGTAAACATAAAAGTAAACGTAATGAATCCAACAGACAGCGAAGGCGTGTTTGTATACGAGTGGCCTTTTCCTAGTGACCTACTATACTTTGACCATCTCATCATTGGCACGCGAGCCGAACAAGCAATATTCGCATAGAGAACACTCACCTCGGCGCTCGTTTGAGATGACGTGTCCAGTACGGGCGCCGACAGCGGCCGAAACTGCAGTGACTGTATCGTAGATGATAATAACGATCGCCATAATGCAAAATTAGTTATGTATTCGAACCGTCGTTTGCTCGCTACTTGCGCCGTGTCGGTTGACGATCGATAATGTAGTTGTCTTCATCTTGTCCTCTAATATCTGACACGCCAACGACACAATTGTCGACTATAACGCGACGATGGCGATACTGGTAGGAGGTGCAGTTTCCAGCTACGAACTCGGCCGCTGCTGCTAAATCTTCCCGCTGACGCAAGCCGCGATCAACGACAGTAGCGATCCAGCAGAAGTAAAAATTATACCAATTTCTATGTTGGCCACCACCGATGACTTGACCGTGTGGCAAATGTCGTCGTCTTTTTTTCATTACATCCTGTATTAGCACTCGGAACACATAAACTCGTATACAGACGTTACTCGCCATTTGGGAAATTAGGAAAAAGGATTACCGTGCCTTTGTGCCCGTTTTCTTTGATCTAACGTTTGAATATTGTCCATGCAGGGCAATGTTCTAGTACCACGTAAAAATACAAGAAGTTCCATGATCCGACTGGACATACCACATCTGAAGATCTGCCGTTTAGAATAGATCAATAGTATCGTCTATTGATTTTGAGTAACCAATGGATTTTCTGAACGCGGTTGATGGGCCTGACGGTCTGAAAAGATATAGTAAAGAAATCTGCGACACGAACGCTAAAGAAAATTGACCAAGAAAAAGGCAAATAGAGATATCATCGATGGGGTTTTCCGTGAAAATGGCCATATACCCATTCCGACGCATCCGGCTACTGCAAGAACCGAAAAGACGAGATTCGCCAAATTCACGCTAAAAGTAACATTCACGTCTATCTACCTTTTACTTCGTCATCATAAAGGAAACTCTGTTATGTATTCGTAATGTGGAAAAAGGCAGTCGATATTTTTTACTTCAGCACAAGTGAACTTCGGCTCCCTTACGCGGAAACCTTTCATCGATGATTTAACTAAGCTAACAGTAAACTGCCTACGATTGAACAACGGACTCAGCTTTTATTTTCTTTCTTGGGAAAGAAATGCAAAATCTGCCCTGGCATAGATTGAGAATCATTTAGTTAACCAAAAAATAACAGCCTAGTATTGAGTAGTTCGGTGACAAGAGCTGGTAGTATAGTATGCTAAGTATGTTAGGCAAACCTAGCTTGTTCGACATTTGTGTAATTAGTGAAAAGCTAACCTAGATACCTTCTGCAATGAAACAGCGAATTCGAAGAGCACCGACCTACAATGACTAAGCTTACTCTATGATCTGTTTAGAGCGCCATAGTGTGGCCGGGAAAGCTATGCCATTGTTGTTTGTGATCGAATTCGCAGGTCTTCTTCTCTCACTACCTTGAACCCCCGGGGTCTTTTTTCCATCGCCTCCTCTACCAGCCGGTTCACACACATGCGTGTATATTCTTCATCAAATACAAATGAAGTAATGGCAAATTGCATATATTTTTCACATGTAAGCTTCAGTCTCTTCGGGGTAACGTAACGGTATTTAGGCTATGAAACTAGGTTGGGTCGAAGATGGAGTGCGCGGCCCATCAGAACTTGCTTTTTTTTTGAATATCTACAGCACACGACGAAAAGGAGCCTCCAGAGGTCGAGGTCGTTTGCGCCATTGTGAGGTGTTCAGCACTTGTTGTCGTCGACTTAGTTCCTACATAGAGATCCCGTTACTTAGGGTGATAGGGATGCAAAGAGCGTAGCGGCTTGGAGCGCAAAGCAGAGGAGAAGATCGCTTCTAAGAACCATATGTATGTCAGCTTATGCATAATGTACAATATAATGAATTCGTACAGTGGTACCTCGTGCTGATAATATGAAATGTATTTGTGTCTCAAAAATCGATAGAAGCAGTCAATAGGCGAAGACTGAGACATACGTAACGAAATCCACAGTATGATAAAGGAAATGAGCTAGAAGTTTGGGATACTGGAAGCGTTTTTAATAGCGCTCCTTGCCGAGAGATAAACAGATATTCTCGTCCTGTTTGAGACAGGAACAGATAGCCTTCAAAATGGTGATCCTTGATAAATTCGTTTAATCGAGCAGTGCTGCTGCAACGTGCAATGCGTAGTGCAGGGCCCGTTTTCCGTTGTTAGAACACACATTTGAATGATAATGTCACTCTATCGCTGGTAGGCCTATTATATCTTCGGTGCGAGTAGGCTCACTTAGCTAGCTATTGTGGAGTTTAGCATATCTATCGTTAGTCACAGCAATAACAACTGGTTACAATCGGGCTGTAGTAGCCCACTACGTTAGCTGAGTGGTTGGACGCATTGGTTGCCATGTGGCCTGGATTCGAGCTGCTTGATTCTCAATGGGTTCAGCGACCAGCTTCTGGGTCAGGGTAATGTTCTCGGCGTGAAAAATGCTAGGCTCGATTGCAGCCAGACGCCGCGGCCAGTATGCCGCACTCCAGCAGCCAGCTCGACCACTATCTGATGACTAGCTCGACGGCTATAATAGATATGCCAGAGGTACAGAGGGCTATACTGTCTACGGAATGACCGGTATCTCGTATACCGTGCTTTTGGAAACGAGTTCGCAGTTAACCGTTAGGCTGACCCTAACTGACTGGTCTTAATGTACAGTACCCATGAACGTGATTCTGCACAGCCAGAACTACTAGCACAACTTCATTTCCTACTGATACAACGCAAATGTTAAACGATTCTACCCTACTGATGTGATCCTATTGTAGCTGATGAGACGGCACAAAACCCAATTAAAATAGATGACGGCCTGTCTTGCTTAAGCCTAGAAATCGGGGAATGCCCGGTACTGATCGGGATGGTAGTATTTTTAAGTGGCCGGTCTGGAGTAAGCGCTAGATGAGAGCATCGTATCATATATTTGCTAAGTGGGAAAATCTTGTGTTCAGCAACAATGAAGTGAATCATATTGTTTCCATAAGTAATCACAGCCGAAGTTCGTTTCCATCGTATCCCAGGCAATGAGCCCACAGCGAAAATGTTATCTGTACCTTTCGAAATGCGAAACATTATGTGGAATATGTTGCTTTAAATACTGCTAATCAGATAAAATAAAAAGAGGGAATAATTGAAAACAAAAACTAATCTCGACGATGAAGAATCTGAGCAACGGATCGTCATTTAACGCGCAATGCTTCTGAATATCTGGCACAATCAGGCAGGCCTCTTCTAAGATGGACGGTGATTTCCTCTGTTACGTGCCAGCTTTTTCCGCTCAAAGTCAACGAAAGAGTAAACAAGAGCGAGCGGTTTGACGTGCTGTACTGCGACTACATATAGCGCAAGCAGTTTCTGTTCTGCGTCACTTTGGACACGATCGGGTGTTGGGTAATAGATCAGTTAGGCGGGCCTCCATTTTTTTTTATATATATATTTCTATATCATCTGATCCAGCGCCCGACCTGGTTGAGAGGGCTCAACCTAGTGACGGTTACAGAAGAGGCACGCTCAGACACACACATACAGAGGCACATATACAGACATTGAGTTGCACACAAACAGACGTACACATGTGCACATGGTTTTGTTCAAACAGAAGTTAACTTGTTGGAGAATCGCCGCGCCAGCCACAACAGCAACAAGAGTAGGTGAATGCCCTTGTGAAGGTCGCTTAGCTGCCTCCTGGCTTCGCTGCCTCAAGATATCTGGGTTAGGCCAGGGTATTGACCCCCTCTGGCTGATGTGTGAGGGCCCCCCGGTCGTCAGCAGTTTCGTGGGCCCGTTGAACTGGGCCGGTTGAACGTGTGGTAGGTTGTTGATGGTGATGCTGCTATGCCGGCAGGCAGGCTGTGATCCCGCTGCTTGCGTCTCCCGCGATCACTATTGCCGCCGCCAGCGCCGCTAGGCAGCGGCATCTACGACGACGACGACTATTTTTGCTACCTCCTTGGCATATACATAATACTACTGTTGTTGATGATGATGCCGTTGCTGCTATTGACGGCTGTCTGTTGTTAATGTACCACAACCACTGCTGGCCTAATGCCATAGGCAACTCTGTTCCCTAAATGGTCCGATGGCTGCTACCTCTGGTGGCACAGGCCGGAGACTTTTTCTTTCTACACTTCATCCTCATTTTCGAATTTCTTCAGGAATAGTGCTGCTTGATGTGCCCTTTTAGGATGGACAGCGCAGCCCGGTCGAACTGATGAACGAACGGACGAACGAACGGATCTTTGGATCGCTCGCGAAATCAAAGTTCTCAGAAGACGCTCACAGAATCGCTTTAGCCATATCTAGCATATATATATATATATATATTGGGGTGTGAGTGTCAAAAGTCTTTCATGTATTTAATACACCCGGCGGGGTATTACCGGTTGCTCAGCTTAGATCGCAGTTCGCATGGATGATCCGATCTCGCGCGGAATCGCTCTTGGGTTAAACGCGTTTCTCGGGACGTTCGGTTTGAGGAGAAGCTATTGTTGTTTGTTGTTGTTCCCATAACACGGTCAATGAACTTGCCTGACGATAAGCTACGTTTACGTTGAAATATTCTAATCATGGATCACCAAAATAAGACAACGGACCTTCCACACATCTATTCATAGAATCAACGCAGTTCGAATGTTTTTTCTACAAATAAAAGTGATAGAGCAGAAGAGAACGAGAAAAAACAAAAAGAAAGGATCAAGATACACACTCAAACTTATTTAGAACGGCACTCTCTTGAAGAACGTCGCCGACTTTCTGTCATCAACATTGTAACCAAGTTTTAACCATGATCTCAGTTCCAATCGTACTCAATGAACATGGGTAATGTTTTTCTTTATTAGTACCATTTATACATCGTCTCATTACGTAGTAGAAGCGTGTTATCATAACGACATTAGTAGTCGACGTCAATCCTAACTCCTCTTCTCTGTTTCTTTTATCTCTTTCTTGTCGTTGGATCTTCGGCATGATCATCATCATCGACGGTGTCGTTCACATCAACGCCGTGAACGTCACTCTTTCAGGTCCAGTATGTTGATCGTGACAGCGCAATCCCGGCCTCCCTCGCCGTCGCCCAGTCCCCCGCCCACGTCTAAGGCCAGTGCCCATACTCACACCCATAAGGCGTTGAAGGCGCAAGCAAAACATAAGTTTAAGGAACAGCAAGCGGCTCTTAAACATTCGCTCGCGGTGTCAGCCTGCATCTCGGAGATCACCCCTGTGTGCGCACCACACTTCAAATCAAAGGCCGCCCGAGATTATCTTCAGCTCAGCGGCCATCATCTCGACCGTCTCGAAGATCGGCTGGCGGTGGTCAGTGTGGTGCCCCCGGGCCGGTTAACGCCACCCTCATCCGAAGAAGAAAGTCCAGCTGAACCACAACAGCAAGACGATATCGAGCACCTACGACAGTTTAATCATCTTGTACGACAGCGCCACCAGCGCCTTACGTACACCTCCACCCTGGCCGAATCGGACGGGTTTGCCGTCGCCCCCTTAGCCCCCTCCCCCAAGGCTCTACTTGAAGTCAAGCTGCGGGCTGGCGCCGTTGCAGCGGCAGCCGCTACGCTGGCGCCCAAGATGAGTCTATTTCATGATATCAAACTCAAACGCCGCAAGGTCGATTCGCGCACATCAAGCGATGGGGAGGGCTCCACTTCGACGGAAGGTTCAAGCCCCCCGCGCAGCACCTCCCCAGGTGAGGCCGAAGGGGAGAATCTAAGTGAATTCTCTGAGAAAATAGTGCATAAATTCGAGACTCCGCCAACGGATGATGACTACGAACAGCCGTCGAAAGTGGCTAAGATCGAGGAAGGACTACAGGCGAAAACAACTGAAAGGGGATCGGTACAGCCTGCACGGCCAGCGCGGACGATTCTAGAGGAAGCTCTAACAAATGGGCCGCCCCCAAAGGCTCTGCCGCGAATAAAAGTCAATGGACATAGACAAGAAATGAACGGTGATGCAAATAGCGCGCTTACCGGCGTCAGGCGAACGAAGGGGTCTACCACAACGATAGGGAGCAGCGACACTAGCGAGTCGGATGGTGGTTCAAGCTCAAGTAGGAATTCGCCGCAAACCCCAGAGACAGCATCGACGCTCATCAGTAGTCCGGGCGGTTCGGAAGGATCCGTGAGCTCCGACCGGACGGACAAGTCGTCGTCATTGCTGTTGATCAGTTCTGAGAAATCGGACAGTTGTGAAAAACAGGCGCGAAGTGGACTGGATGGTCTGGCCGAGATCGCGACCGAAATTGCCAATGGGTTAAGGCCCGATGTGCCGACGAAGGGAACCCTCCTTGAGGCGTCTCTACGACGACGGCCGTGTCGCTCGGCCGCATCCAGTCCTCGGCTCGCCCAAGATCGTGCAAGTCCCGTCTACCGTGCTCCATCTGCACCCTCGCAGGGTCTCGGCAGCGCTGTGGGGCCGTGGGAGCCAAGCGGAACCATATCAGGATCAAAGAGTGCATTCGTAAGACCAACCGATGCCCCGCAGTCACCGCTGGCCGGCGACGCTGAGCACGGATTGGCCCTACTGCGCCTAATGTCGCGCTACCGTCAGCAAGTTGCAGTCACGAACGGCGGCAGCCCGGCAGCAACAGCATCCAGCACTCCGACTTCAGTGAACGCGACCACGTCAGCAGCTGTAGCAGCAGCTGCACACGCTGTCGAGCTTTACAATGGTACAGGTGGTAGCAGCAGCGGTAGTAGTGTAGGAAGCAATGGTAAGACAGCGGCTTTGCTATGGCCTCCCCAAAACGTTAATACAGTAAAAAGTAGCAGTGATGAAAGCTCAGTGGTAACTGTGTCAGGAACAAGAGAATCCGTTTCACCAACAAGATCGCCGGTGTTATACCTGGACCGGGTAAGGAAACGCGTAGTTGTTTCGGAAGAGTCCCTTGGTTGCTCAGAAGACGGACAAGCGCAACAACAGCAGGAACCTCTATCGACGCGACTGCAAGCAACAACAGCGGCAGCGGCGGCGGCGGCGGCGGCGGCTCATGGTCAGCCAATACTAGCCGAAAGACTTCAAGAAAGGCAAGCCTCGGTTCCGCAAATGTCCCGCCTGCAGTCACAACTTCTAGGCGAACAACAGCGGGTACGCTATCCGCCTGTAGCTAGTAACCCGAACCCCCAGCCGGGCATACAACAGCGGCCAACGTACCCGCGGGGATATAGCTCCCCAAATCCAAGCCCTCCTTACCCGCTCCTGGCTCCCGCGCCGGCAACTCTTCGTACGAGTCCATCAGTGATATATCCTACCAGTGATATGGCTTCCTTCACACAGGCCCAAACATCCAAGTCTCCGCTGACGGCTGAGGTTAGTGTAGATCCGTATTCCGAACATTTTTAGCCCAGCTGAACTACATCGTAGCGTTAAGTTCCACTTGACATATACACACTTAGCCAATTAACATTAACGTTGACCTCGTCAAGCTTAACGTATGATACTTTTGCGAATAACTACTAGGATAACTCCACGTCATCATTGTTTCCATGCGGTCCCTTCTAATCAGTTATGTCTTTCAGCGCGTCCATCTGAAGCGCATGGAAAGGTTGCATAATTTCCTGAATTACTCGACTGTATTTAAACGGTAGCATGACATCATCCGATCACGACATGAAACTGTCAGTCGACAAAACATAGATTTTTATGTACCCGTTTGTTTTTCTCTAGATGTGTACCTATGATTGGTCGTTAATAATCCGATAAATCCATTTTAACTTTTACAGCAGCCCTGTTTACGGTTATCCACTTAGACGACGTTCGAAATTGAACTGAGTACTCAACTGCAGAAAATTGCCTCATTTAAAAACAAAAAAAAAACAATATATATATGGTTTTATACGTAGTTTCAAACTAAAAACGTAGAGAGCTATTCTGTTCTGCGGCATGTTATTAGCACATCGACGGGTCTGATCAGATATTCTATATTACCTTTCTTAAATCTGCTTTAAAGGCTACCTAAAAAAATAGGAAAAACATCAAAAAAGGTTTGGTGTTTGATACTATTAAGATGTTGACTAAATTCTAAATAGCTATTTACGTTATCCTATAGGGAAACCCCTTCCGGACACAGTGGCCGCCCGAATCTCCGAGTCCCACTGGCGCTCTGGGGGCACTCAACCTGACAGCGGTGAGTAGGGATCAGCAAGGAAGTAACTTGGTTGCAATTAGGCAGCGTGATCGTGAACCACAACAGCAGGCAGGAAATACTGATGATGAAGAACAGCCCATGATTTGTATGATCTGTGAGGACAAGGCTACCGGTCTTCACTACGGAATCATCACCTGCGAAGGGTAGGTCGCCTTAGATAAACTAGGCAAGTAATGGACGATACTGTATAGAAGGACAGCGAATATAAAATCGATTACTAATGTCGAAGTGTTTTGACTAGTTAAAACGTCTGGGTGACTGTATTTGTTTTTCAGGTGCAAAGGATTTTTTAAACGAACAGTACAAAACAAACGCGTATACACATGTGTTGCTGAGGGTAACTGTGAAATCAATAAAGCTCAAAGAAATCGCTGCCAATACTGCCGCTTCCAGAAGTGTTTGTTCCAGGGCATGGTTCTAGCCGGTAAGTCGTTAAAACTCGATTCTAGCCTAAATCCTATTTTGACTATGATTGTGTACCTATTAGGTTTAAAAAAAAATATCGTTTCTACCATACGACGTCGGAAAATTAGCACAAGCAAAAGTAGCAGACGATCGACTTTAACAAGAAAATCGTTGTCCTTAGTGAAATTATATTTATTGATAATATGATCCTTTCCAAAGCCTGACATCTTTAAAGGGTTGCCAGTGGTCAAACAGGCAGATGCACTATCAGGTTCCGTATATGTCAACACCTGAAACTATAGCTCACGTAGACTAAAAACGCGGAAGTATTTGATAATACGGCAATTGAATGGTCGCGATCTTTGGCGGCTAATCCCGTCATTGCGTATGACAAACTCGTGTAAGGGCCATAATATTCGTTGCGTCAGCTCTTTCGCCTTGAGCTCGTCGAGCAGCTGTGCGAGAAACTGTAGTGCTGCTACTGTCGTTGTCGTTAATGAGAATGATGATGATGGCAAGATAGAACAAAATACAAAAAGGGGAGCATGCTGGGCTTTCGGCAGCTTCTACGTGTCTGCTGTTGACCCCCTAAACTTGTCTAGCTATGATGTTATGCTCGTGTGTAGTACTGCGCGGCGTTGGGGACGGTCTGACGCAGCTCTCAACTATAGATGTTGGGATGCCTGTCCGCACTAGTGGTGCTCCCGGTAAGCGGCACTAGCAGTAGTTGTAGAAATGGTCGCCGTCAAAGCGATAGAAATTGTATCCAGGAAGAGTTCGGAGCGCTACCGACGACGAAAGAGTGATGATGTTCATTGCGGCCCCGTAACGGTTTCCACGGAAAACACCAGTGACCCAGCGAACGCGACCACGAGTACCAAATCGTCATGACCTCAATTTGAACGGCGGCAGAATCGGCAGCAGCAGAAATAATAGCACTAACAACCCAGCCTAATGCTACACGGAGGTACTCCATGTTATCGCGCGTACACACACTACACATTGAACAGGTAAAACACTTCACTATATAGTGCTGTCTTACTAAGCCGACAACAGGGGTAGCATCGGGCAGAAAGCGGTAACGTTCGTCCTGCAATAGTTAGCAACGGCGCTGTCCTCCCTTATAACTCTTTCTCCACGCGACGTCAGATGAAGTGTATAACCGATATCAGACGCCAACGGATTTGCCAACAAAATCAGTCGATTTTGCACAACATATAGATATACATGAGCACGCGTGCATTCATACATGTATGTGGATATTGATACGCGTATGTGTAGCATACGTCGATGGCGTCTGAATGGAAAAGCCGTGGCGTGCGTGATACTTCTATGAGATCTTTGAAATGTTTTACCTCACAATCGGCATTCGTTCTATGAAATGTTCTGTTTCTGCGAATCGTAGGTGTTTAATCGTCCAGTATAAATTGCAATTTATACTATTTAGGCTGATTTCTTTTCCATAGTAGTTATAGGACGAAATGTCGTTTGTTGACGCACGCTATGGTAATTGGCGCTATAGTAATTTACGTCGTGTATAACCCTGAAAAACAATTGCTAGCACAGCTGGGGAATGAACTGCCGAAGGACGATGGAGTCAAGCCGGATTCAGATCCTTCTAATCGAAACGAAAGGTGAACAGACTTTCAGGGACGGCTCGACTATGAATGCAGATATATATTTCGGTTTGAGCCACCAACCAGCCGCAATCCAGTCACCCTCAGTAACCCTGAAGCACCGATCTGTATGCGTCATTTGAAAATATTGAAACTGACTGACTGATGGGCATACAAAGCGATGAACTCACGGTTAAGCCGAAAACACTACATTCTGTTCTATCATCTTATAGATTTCTAGGCAAACTTTCGTAGACAAGCTTATCAGAAAAAAAAAAAAAACAAATACCGTTTTGCAACTCCGTCGATCGTGACGGAAACTGTAACCGTATTTTTTGCCATATCAGATTCGTACGGCGCAGCTCTGCACGGTTTATGAAAATTACTCGTTTGGTGGTAATAAGGCTACGGCGGACTGTAGGCAGCGTTGCCGAGGGATAGCATATTTCGAGAAACTAAAATAACGACACTTCTTATTCTCTGTACATCCTTTAGCTGTTCGCGAAGATCGAATGCCCGGAGGCCGCAATTCAGGCGCAGTGTACAATCTCTATAAGGTAAAGTACAAGAAGCATAAAAAAAAGACGTCGGCACCGACCACCGGTCAAACGAACGGAGGCGGCACCGGAAGTCCTAAGCCCTTTGGGCCTCCTCAAACACCCAGTCCGCCCAACGGCAGTTCGACGAACAGTTCGGGACTTATCGGGTAAGTATAGTATGGTAATAATTACGCTCGCCTCCTATTTCTATTATTTCCAGTTAATAACTATTTAATTAATCACTTTTTCTCTAACACGTGGCGTTGTAGCAGCCAAACGAATCTTGTCGATGTCGCAGGACGCGTCGATTCCATTGAATAGCTATTCGATCCTTTATTTATCTTGTTTTTGACGTCGCTAAATTGAACCGTTGGTTTCTCTCTGCTGCCAATAGCGGTTCTATCATGCAGAATGCCAATGTGTACACCGGCCTATATAACGTAAGTTCTATTTCTGTGTGTTTCATATCGGCTGCTGGCTAGCAAGTAGTTTCTTTTCATTGTCCTTTATCAGGCCTCAATCTTCGTAATATTGCGCTCCTCATTGATTGTCCGGTCGCCTATTATTCGCTCTATTTTCTCGACGCGATCGGATCGCGACCACAGTATGCATACGCACACTCACTGTCATAGATTCGTTGTACCATCGCTGAGGTAGAATTGATAGTGGTTACTATAGCTAGTTGGTGAGTTATGTTACGGCAATACGACCCTCTTCGACCACCGATCCTACAAGTTTAGTATAGGTTATACTGCTGTTACCGCGCCACACCGTGGCCGTCGACCAGCAGCATTTGTTTACTTCCGCTTCCGCAAGGGGCTGTTTTTGGGGCCGCTGCTCGCTTGCTCGCTCTGGCCGAGTCAAAGTAAGCCAACGGCAGCGGCAGCGACGGCAACACAAGCTGCTGTCCCCGTTAATGCTGCTAAGTAAGCTTCGGCCTTCCGCGTTACTGCTTTTTGCAACTCTTCCGTTGTTGATACCGTTGTTATTCAGTTTCTGACCTACTCACCTGGTTGTTCGTGTTCCGCTTCGACAAGCCAGAGTAGGTGGGCAGGAAAGTGGGTAGGCTGGGTCGGTAGGAGCCGCAGTCGGAACGCTGGCTGAGCCGTGGCCGGTAGCTTAACTACTAGCAGTAATCAACACGACGACAGTCACAAGTTAAAAGCCGCTGTTGCTGTCCAGAATCGCATCACAGTGAGAAAAAGGGGTAGTCAGCTAGATAACACAAGGGCTGGTTGCTGATAGATGAAGTGCGTATTGAATTGAACGCCCGATCACCCCCGCAAAGGCTATTTTAAAAGGGAGGAGAGGAAGCGACACGATGGACGAAAAACTAGTTACCGGCTGCTTGGTTCTTGTTGAAATTGTCATCGACAGCGATAAGGTCACATTTCATTCATGACATGCTTTCATACAATGCAACCAGATTAAAACGAGCAGGATTAAATATAACTAACGATTCCTCTACAAGGTTACAAGTTCTTCACTATAATTTACATAAAATAATCGTTGCAGTCACATGAATGTAGTGTTTATTAGCTCCATGTTTCAAAGGCACGTAAACGATATAGCATTACCTTCTCTTGTGTAGAATTGATCATACTTTTTTATTAGTATAGGTATGACCGTGCGCCTATCCTATTCCAGGCAAACATTGCTTTCATCACCCTCACCGAAAGCAGCGTTAGAGTGGACTGCCGCAAGTCCCGCTCAACAACCTGGAACTGTCATTGCCAACCCATCGGTTACCGGTGGCATTCTCAAGACGGCTCTGACGGCCCCCAATCAGTTGGTGCACCTTCGAAATCAAAGCAACCCACCCCAACAGCAACTGCAACAACATCAACCCAGCATTCAACAGTGCCCATCTTCTTTAGGTGCGAGTTCGACGCAATCTGTACGGCAGCAAACTCATCAGAGTCAGTCACCTTCGCTACAGCAGCAGCAGCAGCAGCAGCAGCAGCAGCAGCAGCAGCAGCAGCAGCCCTCCATGGCGACGCAACGGACCAGCGAGCCTATCGTTACGCTCCATAGTAACCACACGAACCAACTTCACCATCAACAACAGCTTCACTATCCAACAGCTGTGAGCAGCAGTAATTCGCATCACCATCCCTCAGTTGGGACTATACCAGCGGTGGCTGGGGTAGTTCCAGGTCAAGAGGTGTCTAGCAGCCATAGCGGACTTACCGGCAGTAACAGTAGCGACAATAGGAGTACGAACGCCGTTGCCAGCAGTGGCATGATTATCGGGAATACGTCACAGCATGCGCCATCATTAGTAGCAAATAGCGCAATGGCTAATAGCAATAACACTGCCAGTGTATGCCATCATAGTGCTACGAGTCTCACGAGTACGCTTAGCCAACCCAAACCTCAACCGCCGACGCCTAGCGAGGCGCTGCGACTCATCCATGAACTGATTGACTGCGATGACTTTGAAGATGTTGCGACCCTGAACAATATGCAAGATCTCCTTGTGGATAAACGGGGTGCAATGAACGGTCCTAATAGGGGCAATGACGGTCCTACTGCTGCTGGACAGTCAGACTGTCGCGCAGTTGAGCTGCCTGACAAATTGTGTGAAATTGGCGACAACATCGTCTATAAGCTAGTGCAATGGACAAAACGGTTACCCTTCTATCACGAAATCCCACTCGCCGTACACACACAGGTTAGTCTCTCTCTCTCTCTCTCTCTCTCTCTCTCTCTCTCTCTCTCTCTCTA